TGAGTTTGGTCCTTTTGGATGCAATCCATCATATGTGGTCGTGCCTTCCCAATCCCCGAAGGTACAGGTCCAAGTCCCAGTTGACTGCTGCGTCGTTCACGTTCCCCTTCGCTGCTACTGCTGCTGGAAGTTAATTCCAGAACGGGTGTCTGAACCTGTTCGACGTGACGGAAAATTTTGTCCAATCATTCACATACTACTTATTATCAAATATATATATATACTGCGTGCACCTATGTAGATCATATTTAATTGATTAGTGATCAAACTATTATGAATGTGAGGTCGGGATCATCTCCGAAACCGTAAAAATGAATATGAATATTGACTGCTGGCATTAGTTATCGTTCATAGGTGAAGAGGATAGATGCATATTCTGTGGTGATCCAGGCCTACACGATGGTGCCTACCCTGGAGCGGCGCTTTACGGTTTCATGACGTTTGCGATCAATCAATTTTGAATGCTGACGTCAATGACACGTGCATAGCTTCTGAATACACGTCATTGGTGGATGGTGCCAGCCAATCCGAGACAATGCAGACAGAAGCAAGATTATGCAAGCAGTGCTACAATCCAATTGGTGAATACCCAGGTAGCCAATAATCTCCTTTTGTACATATTATTTAATCACCTTCATTTCTTCCAATAAACGAACTACTTACTGCCTGTCCTCTGGCCTTTTCCTCGCGTCTCGTTCTCGTGGGACATTGCGAATCCGTGCTATTGCGTTCCAGTGCTTCTGCGATTCAGTCCGCGATAATTCATTATTGATTCGGGTCCTGTGATGCATACTGCGTGGTTGGTGTTCCGAATTCCGTGCGTATTACTACGATTGCTATAATCATTACATATTCCGAACATGTTAACCGTACCCTAACTTACTGAATCTGCGGTAAACCGTCGCCTGATTGCGTCGCACCGCAGTACTTAACGTGGATGCAAATAGGTGTTTTACTTTCATAGTTTGGCTACTCATGAGTAGCGTAGGTGGAATAAGTGTTGAAAGTACACAAGTTTGCATAACGCATGAATCTGAGTTTGAGTACAATCGTGTTGTGATCTCCACAAATTGCATAATTGCTTTGTTTTGACCATATCATTTCAATTATTATTTCAACACCTAACCAGTTACTTAAAACTGGTAAATGGGCTACGACATATGAAGAAAAGAACCTGAAGAATTTGTGGGTATAGCACCTTTCGGCTGTCCTAACCGAGGAAGAGGGATAACTTTGTGGTCCCCATTCGAAACCTTTGGCTAGAAAGACAGACCTTGAAGACAGTTGGAAGGAGCTCAGAGTTCGCAGTCCATTGGGGGCTTATGTTCAGTTCATCGGATCATACGCCCTTAGAATGAGGTCAAACGTCCAAGGTGTCCAATTGCACCGATGACCACTGCCACAACCAGGAAGATGTTTGTGTGGTTCGTAAACCCCCTTCTTGGTTGGTTTGGAATCAGGGGGTTTAACCAAACCCCATAGGTTAGCTGCCAGTGGTTCACCAACCCGGTTATAACCCCGGATATTGTCTTTTAATCCTCCCTCTTTGGTGGGAAAACATCTCCACGAGAGGGCAATGAGTAGGGCTTCCTCAGCAGAGGCTATTTGAGACACGTGGTCATATAGG